ACGACGCTCTTCCGATCCCCCCAAAACCCCAAAACCCCAGGTAGATTTGATTTGTAGTAATTTTTGTAAATATTGAAGGAATAATTGAAATATGCAACTAACTTTAAAAAATGCACTTCTCGCATTCATTTTGTACAAATTCTATCATCGCATGAAAAATGTAAGGACAATTATTAAGTTGATGATAGGATATATAGTTGATTATATTAAGGCTTCTAATGAAAAGCTTCAATAAAAAGGTACTTTTATCACTGCTTGGCGCACTGCTGATCTCACTTATCAGAGGATTAATTAGGCTTTCGAGTAATTTGAAAATGAATGATCTACTCAGGCTGATCAGGAAATAAAAATTTGAAGTCCAGAAAGAAACTACTGTTAATTCCAGTTGCTAAACTCAAGATCATAAAAATCCAGGTCCTAATGACTAGCTGTAGAACAAAGAAGAGGACAAAGAGAATCATGATAATTAAACAGGAAACTCTTCACTTTGTACATAAATGTAATCGTATAATACTGAAAAATCTCCTGAAGAACTGAACTCTATTCCTCTCAAATCTATTGTTTTCAAGACTTAACAGTCAAGTTCTTTGAAAAGTAATAGAGTGCTGAAGAGAAAATTGACTAGTGATCATATATATCACAGCCAACCTAGCTCTCTTGATACGCTTGTTTAATCATACTAAGAACAGAATGAGAATAAGAGAAATCAAGATTTGGCTTTGAAATAATAAAATAAATAAGAATCCAATTAATCATCTCACAGGATCATCAATGATTCTCCTAATCACTAATAAGGATATAACAAATAAAATCAATTTGTCAAAGAAAACAGCCCACAGAGTGCTTCAACTGTTGAACATAACGATACTAAGACTAGATAAAGTTACAGTTCTAATCGTAAATTCAGCCGATAGGAATTTTTACCCAGAAGCAAGACTCAATTCCTCAAAATTATATAGGAGGAAACAGATTGATACTGATATAATTGCTGAACAAATGCTTTATCTAGTAGTATAACTAAGATGATTTGACTATATATTATTAATTTCACCTAACCTCTAAGTTATTCAAATACTCTTAAAGGGGTTTTGGGGTTTTGGGGTTGGGGTTTTGGGG